CCTGAGTAGCTGGGATTACAGGCACGCGCCACCATGCCCAGCTAATTTTTTGTAGTTTTAGTAGAGACAGGGTTTCACCGTGTTGACCAGGATGGTCTCGATCTCTTGACCTCGTGATCCACCCGCCTTGTCCTCCCAAAGTGCTGGGATTATAGGCGTGAACCACCGCGCCCGGCCTTTTTTTTTTTTTTTTTTTTTGAGACAGAGTTTCGCTCTTGTTACCCAGGCTGGAGTGCAATGGCACGATCTCAGCTCACCGCAACCTCCGCCTCCTGGGTTCAGGCAATTCTCCTGCCTCAGCCTCCTGAGCAGCTGGGATTACAGGCACGTGCCACCATGCCCAGCTAATTTTTTGTATTTTTAGTAGAGACGGGGTTTCACCATGTTGACCAGGATGGTCTCGATCTCTTGACCTCGTGATCCACCCGCCTCGGCCTCCCAAAGTGCTGGGATTACAGGCTTGAGCCACCACGCCCGGCCGATACCATGCTTTAAATAAAATAGTGCAGCCAGTGTGGTGGCTTACGCCTGTAATCCAGCACTTTGGGAAGCTGAGGCAGGCAGATCACCTGAGATTGGGAGTTGGAGACCAGCCTGACCAACATGGATAAACCCTGTCTCTACTAAAAATACAAAAAAATCAGTCATTCATGGTGGCACGTGCCTGTAATCTCAGCTACTTGGAAGACTGAGGCAGGAGAATCGTTTGCACCCAGGAGGTGGAGGCTGCGGTAAGTCAAGATCGCACCATTGCACTCCAGCCTGGCAACAGAGCAAGACTCTGTCTCAAAAATAAATAAATAAATAAATAAGGACACAAAGCTGATTTGAGAAAAGATGTTATTAAAATTACTACTCTCAGAGCTTCTGCTGAAAAGGACATACATTTTCATTTCTGGCCAATCTACAGTGTTGTAAAGGGAGTCACCTGAGAAAATTTCTTAAGGAAAAGAAAAAAACCTAAAATTTCCACGGGAGGAATAAATGTATGTGTCTTCCATAAGTTTCCATCATGATTACTTTGTGGTCACCTAGACAATAACAGGAACCACAATGTCATTAACTTCAGGCATGATGTATATAAGCTGCAACTATCTGTTTAAGCAGATCTCTAAACATTTAAAAAAAAATTATCTATCCTTTGACCCAGAAATTCCACTTCCAGGGATGCATCCTTTCTATATAAATAAACCTGACCTTGTGTTAACTCTCTAGTTCTGTTCCCCTGGAAACCCAATGAAGGAGACTGTTGACTATGTTACCAGGTAACACTACCCAAGAAAAAAAGACCTCCTGATATGCCTCTCAACTTGGGATGACTGTAAATGAACATGAACACCTGTTGGTAAGCCACAGTTTGGATTTGGACTTCCCTGTGAGCAGTGACTCCTGTGGGTATGTCCTTTATTGGATCTGGAATTTAGACCTATGGAACTGTTAAAAAAGATACTGGTTCCTATTTGGGACATGATATTTCTAAGCCAGGCTGGTTCTCCCATCTGTCTACTGTGGTCTTGGGCTCTTGTACTTAAGCTGCATAGGGAAGGGAGACAGGCACAGATGACAGCCCCTCCACTGCTATGCAGAGCACAAGAGAAATGCCTGGCTTTACAGTGCCGCCATGTTGTGTGTTCCTTTTAATATCCTCCTCTGAGGGAATCTTTTCTCAATATGGCCTGATTCGGTCCAGTGAGTTTGACTGCTTAGTTGAATCTAAGAACACCAACTGAAACCCCACCCTGGGAAGGCAAAGTATCACAGATATAAGTAAGTTGCTCTTTACATTTTCTAAAATACAAAATTTAAAACACAGTTTTCATTAACACAGAAAAGTTATGCTACCTTCATATAGAAAAAATGAGTAGATCCAAGTATACAGCTTATTCTATGAAAGCATGTGTTTCTGCACTGTGAAAGCGCTCATGTGAAATTAGTAAATAAGGGAATGGCATCAGTATAACATGGAACCACGCTGGCTCATTGATTTTTCCCTGCATGTTACTATTTTGTGATTAAGCCTAAACACAAAGTATACTAAGATACCAACCACAGCAATACAAAAAAGCCGTACTGTGTATAATGTGTATTTACTCCACCTGCTCTCTCTTTGCTCGGTGTAGCCAGCGACTCTGCTTGGAAGTGTTCACTACATGGTTCTCACAAGTCTCGTTTTACCCTTGTCCCCATTACTCAGATTTACAATCCCTCATCCAGCTCCCATGGGTTGTTACTGCTGATGTTGAAGGTAAAGAAATAATAGAGTAGCCAAGCACCTATAGTGCCTTGGAAAAAGTGAAAAAAGTTGCATAAATATGTGAACTCATTAAAAAATAATTCTGTGTGTTGCACATATGTACATATGTAACATGTATGAAAGTATATACAAAAAACTTAGAGAGTGAGACAGGGAGGGAGAAGTGGAAAGTGGATCTGGAGAGCCAAAGGGGTAAAGTGACGTAAAACATTTTCAGTTTATAACCTGTTAGAATAACTCTTACCATAATTATGAATTACTTTCATTAAATAAAGTCTAGTAAAATTTAAAAACGAACTGACCTCTAATAACCTTTTTTCCCAATGGTTGAGCTCAGTGCCCATACCACCCTGATTTTCAAGCTCCATTCCCTCCAGAACTGGACAATTAAAATGTTTTCGTGCTTCCTCCTATGAACCAGAGAAAAAAATATGGTACAAAAGTACCATAAGATAATGGCAAACTTTTCATCACATGAATATAAGAAGTTAACATTAAAGAATTATTCTGTTGAGAAAAGAGAAATTCCTTTTTAAATGTTTTTTGCTTTTTCTTTTTTCTTAAGCAAAGCCACTGTTACCCTGTGATAAAATATGTTTTTTAATATAATTATTTTGATGCAGTCACTCTTCTTTGCTATGAAATTTCTACTTCTCTCAATATCTTTTCTTCTCTCTGAAGATTTTCACTTTTGTACCAGATAGCTAAAAAATGTTATAGACTAGTACGATTGACAGTTGTAACTCATGTCAATAACAATTTTATATTTTTTATCTCATTTTAAATTGACAATTTATGGTTGTATATATTTATGGAGTACAGAGTGGTTATGATTTATGAATACAATGTGAAATAATTACATCAAGCTAATATATCTATCATTTCAAATACTTATTTTTTGTGAGAGGAGCATTTGAAATTTACTATCAGTAACTTAAAAATATGCAATACACTATTACTAACCATATTCACCACGCTGTGCAATAAATCTCAAAAAAAAGAAAAAAACGTGTTACTCGTGTCTGTGATTTTGTACCCTTTGGCCATCATCTTACCATTTCCCCTACCCACAGCCTCTATAACTACTACTGTCTGCTTCTGAGTTCAGTTGTTTTAGATGTCACATGTAAGTGAAAACATTTATTTATCATTAAATAAATTCTAGTAAAATTTAAAAACAAACTGACCTCTAATAATCTTTTATCCCAATGGTTGAGCTCAACTGAAAAAGTGCGAGCACTCTTTCATCTTTTTGATAATAGTCATCTGACAGACATAAAATGATATCTCATTGCGGTTTTAATCTGCATTTCCCTAAAGATTAGTAATGCTGGACATTTTTTTTCATGTACCTGTTCACAATTTGCATGTCTTCTTTTGAGAAATGTCTATTCAGCTCCTTGGCCAATGTTTTAAATGGGCTATTTGTACACAGTTGTTTGTATTCCTTATATATTCTGGATACTAGCCCCTTTTCTGATGTATGGCTTGCAAGTATTTTCTCCCAATTTGTAAGTTGTCTCTTCACACTTTTAATTATTTCCTTTGCTGTGCAGAAGCTTTTTCATTTGATATAATCTCATTTGTCCTTTTTTATTTTTGTTGCCTACGCTTTCAGGGTCTAATCCAAAAACTCACTGCCCTAACCAATGTCATGTAGTTGTCCCTTATGTTTTCTTCTAGTAGTTTTACAGTTTCTGGTCTTATGTTTAAATATTTAATACATTTGGAGTTGGTTTTTGTATATGGTGTGAGGTAAAGGTCAAATTTCATCTTCTGCGTATGAATATCCAGTTTTCCCAACACCATTTATTGAAGAGACTTTTTCCCACTGTGTATTCTTAGCACTGTTATTAAAAATCAATTAACCATAATTGGTTAATCATAATCAAGTCAATCAAGTAAATCGTAATTTCTTCTGTTCCATTAATCAATGTGCCTATTTTTATGCTAAGACCATGAAATTTTACTTACTATTCCTTTGCAGTACAGTTTGAAATACTACAAAGCTGGAGGCATCACACTGCCTGAATAGCTTTGTTCTTTTTGCCCACAGTTGCTTTGGCTATTTAGGTTTTTGTGTGTGTGTGTTTGTGGTTCCATATGAATTTGAGAATTTTTTTTTTCTATTTCTGTGAAAAATGACAGACACTGGAATTTTGAAAGGGATTACACTGAAGCTGTAGATTGTTTTAGGCAGTATGGACATTGTAACAATATTAATTCTTCTAATCAATGAATAAGGGATACCTTTATATTTATTGTGTCTTCTTCAATTTCTTTCATCTAGTTTTCAGTGCATAGGTCTTTCACTTCCCTGGTTAAATTGATTCCTAAGAATTATTTCTTTTTGTAGCTATTGTATATGAGATTATTTTCTTGATTTTTTTTTCAGGTAGTTTTCTGTTAGTATATAGAAAACTACTGATTTTTTGTGCGTTGATTTTGCATCCTGCAATTTTACTGTATTTATTAATCCTCATAATTTTTTGATAGTGTCTCTAGGGTCTTCTATATGTAAGATCATGTCATCAGCAAACAGCAACTATTTCACTTCTTCCTGTCCTATCTGGATGCCTTTTATTTATTTCTATGGCCTGACTGTTCTAACAAGGACTTCCAATACTATGTAGAAGTGGTAAGAGTGTTTCAGAAATTGGAGGAAAGGCTTTCAATTTTTCACTAATGAGTATAAGGTCTGTTGTAGGTGTCTCTTATATGGTCTTTATTGTGCTGAGGTACCTTCCTTTTGTACATAATTTGGTTAGTTTTCAATCATAAAAAGATGTTGAATTTTGCTAAATGATTTTTTGGCATCTGCTGAGATGATCATATGGTTTTTGCCCTTCATTCTGTCAGTGAGATGCATCACATTTATTGATTTGCTATGTTCAGCCATCCTTACATCCCAGGGATAAATCTTACTTGATCATGATGGATGACCTATTTAACGAGTTATAGAACTCAGTTTGTTAGTATTCTGTTGGAAAATTTTTGTACTTATGCTTATCAAGAATATTAGCCTGTTCTGGGACAAAGATAGCAGAAGAAGAAAACTGTTAACAACAACAACAAAAAAAAAAAAGAATATTAGCCTGTAATTTTCTTTTCTTGTAATGGTCTTGTCTAAATCTGTTATTAGAATATTGCTGCCCTGGTAAAAAGAGTCTGGAAGTAATCCCTCCTCTTCAACTTTTTGGAAAACTTTGAGAAGGACTGGTAAACATTTGGTGAAATTCAGCAGGGAAACTGGTCCTGGGCTTCTCTTTGATAGCAGACTTTTCTTACTGATTCAACCTCATTACTCATTATTGGTCTGTTCAGATTTTTTATTTCTTCATGATTCAGTATTCATAGGTTGTATTTTTCTAGGAATTTGTTCATTTCTTCCAGGTTATCCTATTTGTTGGTATAAAATTGTTCATAATAGTCTCTTATGATCCTTTGCGTTTCTCTGGTATCAGTTGTAATGTCTCCTCTTTCATTTCTTACGTTATTTGCATCTTCTTAGTCTAACTAAAAGTTTGTCAGTTTTATCTCTTCAAAAAATCTACTCTGGCCAGGCGCAGGGGCTCATCCCTGTTATCCCAGCACTTTAGGAGGCCAAAGTGGGTAGATCACCTGAGGTCACCAGTGCCTCCTCTGTTGAGATACCTCTTAGGATCAGTGGTACTATTTCTACAATTGCTGATTATTTTAGTTGGTGCCTATACTAGTCAAGGTTCTCCAGATAAACAGAACCAATAGGATGTGTGTATATATCTATATATATGTACACACAGAGAAAGAATACAAGAGAGGAAGGGAGGTGGCGGTGGGCGCCTGTAATTCCAGCTACTCAGGAGGCTGAGGCAGGAGAATCGCTTGAACCCGGGAGGCGGAGGTTACAGTGAGCCAAGCATGTGCCATTGTACTTCAGCATGGGCAACAAGAAGGAAACTCCATCTCCAAAAAAAAAAAAAAAAAAAAAAAGTTGCTCAGTAGGATAAAATCCTACTCATTGGGTTCTATCTGTCCTTTAGTTAGAGATTTCAAGAGATGGGAAATAGCCCAAAAGCAGTGCAGAACTTTAAAAGTCAGAGAGACACAGTCAAGGAAAAGGGGAAGGGAGAATATGTCTGCTACCCAGATATTTGGCCCAGATATTCTGGATGTTTTTGTGAAGGTGTTTTCTTTTTTTTTTTTTTGAGATGGAGTTTTGCTCTTGTTGTCCTCTACCTCCCAGGTTCAAGTGATTCTCCTGCCTCAGCCTCCAGAGTAGCTGGGATTACAGGCATGTACAACCACGCCCAGCTAATTTCGTATTTTTAGTAGAGACGGGGTTTCTCCATGTTGGTCAGGCTGGTCTCGAACTCCCAACCTCAGGTGATCCACCCGCCTCGGCCTCCCAAAGTGCTGGGATTACAGGCATGAGCCACCGCACCCAGCTGGGAAGGTGTTTTCTTGAATAAGAGTAACATTGATATCAGTAGACTCTGAAGTAAAGATCACTTCCGTAATGTGGGTGGGCCTCATCCAATCAGTAGAAGGCCTGAAGAGAACAAAGACTGATCTCCCCTGAACAGGAAGTAATTCTGCCTTTGGACTTGAACTGCAACTCTTCCCTGAGTCTCCAGCCTGCTGGCCTATCCCTTCAGATTTGAACTGGCCAAGCTTCCACAGTCATGTGAGCCAAATCCTTAAAAGTAATCTCTTGGCCAGGTGCAGTGGCTCATGACTGTAATCTTAGCACTTTGGGAGGCTGAGGCAGAAAGACTGCTGGAGCCCTGAAGATTGAGACCACACTGGGCAACATAGTGAGGCCTCATCACTACAAAAAATAAACAAAATTAGATGGGCATGGTGGTGCATTCCTATAGTCTCACCCACTCGGGAGGCTAAAGTAGGAGGATCACTTGGGCCCAGGAGGCAGAGGCTGCAGTGAGCCAAAACTGCACCACTACATTCCAGCCTGGGTGATAGAGTGAGACCCTGTCTCAAAAAAAAAAAGAAAAGAAAAGAAAAGAAAAAAGAAGAAATCTCTTCCTCCCCTCCTCTCTCATATTCTTTCTCTGTGTGTACATATATAGAGATATATACACATATCCTGTTGGCTCTGTTTCTCTGGAGAACCTTGACTAACATGGATGGAAAATAAAATGATCAATAATTATAGAAATAGTACCAGTGATCCGAAGAGGAATCACAACAGAGGAGGCACTGGGTAGGGTGGGAGCTGTGAGAGTCACTGCCAAGTTTCCATTTCCTCAGATTTCTCATGGCCCGTAGCTTTACGGCACTGCATCTATATTACTTTCTCTACTATAGACTCTAAAATATTATAAGTTCTTAAATAATAACAATGAGTAAAGAAAGGGCCACAATAAAGGAAAAGAACAGATGGCTCATAAGACATGAAGTTCAGTAATACTTACAACAACACGAGGCGTTACCAGGAGATACACAGTGTGAGGAACTACCTTATTATCTCGAACATCCCATAATCTCTCCACTTTTCGAACTACTTTATCACTCCATTGATATAATCCAAGACTGTAATTATAGAATTAAAACACAATTATTGTTGCAAATTCACCACCACTTTAAATGTAAAAATATTTACATTTACTGTAAAAAGCCTTTATGACTATCAAAAAAGCATGATAAACGAAATAAAAAGATGAACAACTAGGAGAAATATTTATAATAAGCATGAAAAAGGAGTAATACCTGTAATTTATAAAGAACTCCTACAATGTGATTAGAAAGGGAAAACCGACATAAAAGATTGGACAAGGAAAATAAATAGTGTACAAAGAGAACATGCAAATGGCTAAAACCTCACTACTGTCCTGGAAATACAATGATACCATCTTTTATCCATCAGATTGGGCTTAAAAAATAGAAAATATCTACAATATCCAATACTGATTAAGAGGTAACAAGAGCATTTATACATCCTTGGTGGGAATGTGCTTTGATATGCCTTTTTATTTTTTTTTTGAGACGGTTTCACTCTTGTTGGTCAGGCTAGAGTACGGTGGCGTGATCTTGGCTCACTGCAAACTCTGCATACCAGGTTCAAGCTATTCTCCTGCCTCAGCCTCCCGAGTAGCTGGGATTACAGGAATGAGTCACCACACCTGGCTAATTTTGTATTTTTAGTAGAGATGGGGTTTTGCCATGTTGGTCATGTTAGTCTCAAACTCCTGACCTCAGGTGATCCGCCCACCTCAGCCTCCCAAAGTGCTGGGATTACAGGCGTGAGCCACCGTGTGGCCCTGCTATACTTTTTAAAAAAAAATGTCACTGGGCACAGTGGCTCACACCTATAATCCCAGCACTTTCAGAAGCTGAGGCGGGTGGATCCTGAGGTAAGGAGTTCAAGATCAGCCTGACCAACATGGAGAAATCCCAGCTCTACTAAAAATACAAAATTAGCCAAGCATGGTGGCGTGCTCCTATAATATCAGCTACTCAGGAGGCTGAGGCAGGAGAATCGCTTGAACCCAATAGGCGGAGGCTGCAGTGAGCCAAGATCATGCCATTGCTCTCTATCCTGGGCAATAAGAGTGAAACTCCATCTCAAAAAAAAAAAATGTAACATGGCAGTTTTTATTAACATTTATAGTCTAAACAGATTTTAAATCAGCAATCCCAGTTTGGGAAATCTATCCCATATAAATAAAAGCACTACTACAAAAGTAACATATTTATCTATTACAGAAAATTATGAACATCAATTTTTACTTCTCCCTGTAACCTAAGTCATTTTGTTTTCTGGCTTATTCCCTAGACTACTTCTGCCATTTTCCCTATAAGTCCCTCATTCTCAGCAAAAGAACAGAAAACATAAAGAGGATTTTCTTTTACAATATTGTTTTATAAAAATTTCAAACATATAAAACATTAAAAAATAGTTTAATAAACACCCTTATAATCAATAACCAGTTCACCTAGATTCTGTAATTAACATTTTGTTATATGTATTAACACATATTTGTTCATCTACCCATGCCTCAGAGAGTTTGTTTTTAATTCCTTTATCTTTTTCCATGGCCAGGCAATGTTTAAACATAAACAGTGAACAAAGCCAGCCAGAAAATAAACAGCTTTTACCTTATTAACCACTCCAATCTCTCTTTACCATTCATACTTCAAGATTAACAGTTTCCCCAAATACATCAGTTAAAGCCAAATCCAATTATTTATATTTGTAACAATTGAATTTATTACTCTATTATCTTCATTTTTACTGGAAGCTTTCTCTTTTTTTCTGTTGGGACAGTCTTCCTCTGTCACCCAGGCTGGATTACAGTTGCATGATCACAGCTCATTGCAGCCTCAACCTCATGAGCTCAACTGATCCTTCTACCTCAGCACCCAAGTAGCTGGGACTACAGGCACATGCAAGCATGCCTGGCGAATTTTTATATTTTTTTGTAGAGACAGGGTTTTGCCATGTTCTCCAGCTGGCCTTGAACTCCTAGGTCAAGCAATCAGCCCACCTCAGCCTCACAAAGTGCTGGGAATAGAGGCATAATCCACTGTGCCTGGCTGGAAGGTTTGATGCTTTCGAGGAATATCCTCAATGCAAGAAAGCACTGCAAAGTATCAGCTTAAGAATGCTTCTTGGGGACGGATCCAAGATGGCCGATTAGAAGCAGCTCAAGATTGCAGCTCCCAGCGAAAGCGCAGAGGGACTGCGGGGAAGTTCACACGGCAGCTGGGCAGAGCCCACAGCAGCTCAGCAAAGCCTCTGCAGGCAGACAGTGACTAGGCTGCCTCCTCGATGGGCAGGGCAGCCCTGAAAAAAGGTAGCAGCACAACAGAAACTCATAAATAAAGCCCTAACTCCCCAGGACAGAGCACCTGGGGAAAAAAAAAGGGGGGGGGTTATGAATTCCGCTGCAGCAGACTTAAATGAACCCGCCCAGCAGCTCTGAATGAACAATGGAGCTCACAGCTCAGCACTTGAGCTCCTATAAAGGACAGACTGTCTCCTCAAGCAGCTCCCTGACCCCTGTATATCCAAAGAGTCACCTCATAAAGGACAGCTCAGACTGACATCTGGCAGGTATCCTTCCGGGACAAAGATAGCAGAAGAAGAAACTGGCAGTAACCCTTACTGTTCTGCAGCCACTGCTGGTGAGCCTCAGGCAACCAGGGCCTGGAGTGAACCTCAGCAGTCCTAGAGTAGAGGGGCCTGATTGGTAGAAGGAAAACTAAGAAACAGATAGAAATAACTTCATCATCAACAAACTGGACGTCCACAAAGAGACCCAATCTGAAAGTCAACAACTACAAAGATGACAGGAGGACAAAACCACAAAGATGGGAAGAAACCAGCACAAAAAGGATGAAAACACCTGAAACCAGAAGGCCTCTCCTCCTACAAGGGATCACAACTCCTTACCAGCAAGGGAACAAGGCTGGATGGAGAATTAATGTGATGAATTGACAGAATCAGCCTTCAGAGGTGGGTAATAAGAAACTTCGCTTAGCTAAAAGAACATGTTCTAACCCAATGCAAAGAAACTAAGAAGCTTGAAAAAAGATTTGATGAAATGCTAATGAGAATAAACAACTTAGAGAGGAATATAAGTGAATTGATGGAGCTGAAAAACACAACAGGAGAACTTTGCGAAGCATGCACAAGTTTCAACAGCTGAATTGACCAAGCAGAAGAAAGGATATCAGAGGTCGAAGATCAACTCAATGAAATAAAACGAGAAAGTAAGATTAGAGAAAAAACGGTAAAAAGGAATGAACAAAGTCTCCAAGAAATATGGGATTATGTGAAAAGACCTAATCTACGTTTGATAGGTGTACCTGAATGCGATGGAGAGAATGAATCCAAGCTGGAAAATACTCTTCAAGATATTATCCAGGAAAACTTCCCGAACCTAGCAAGGCAGGCCAATATTCAAGTCCAGGAAATACAGAGAACACCACAAAGATATTCCTCAAGAAGAGCAAGCCCAAGGCACATAATCGTCAGATTCACCAGGGTTGAAATAAAGGACAAAATGCTAAGAGCAGCCAGAGAGAAAGGTCGGGTTACCCACAAAGGGAAGCCCATCAGACTCACAGCAGATCTCTCAGCAGAAACCCTACAATCCAGAAGACAGTGGGGGCCAATATTCAACATGCTTAAAGAAAAGAACTTTCAACCCAGAATTTCATATCCAGCCAAACTAAGCTTCATAAGTGAAGGAAAAATAAAATCCTTTGTGAACAAGCAAGTACTCAGAGATTTCATTACCACCATGCCTGCATTACAAGAGCTCCTGAAAGAGGCACTAAACATAGAAAGGAACAACCAGTACCAGCCACTCCAAAAACATACCAAATGGTAAAGAGCATCAACAAAACGAAGAAACTGCATCAACTAATGGGCAAAACAGCGAGCTAGTATCAAAATGGCAGGATCAAATTCACACATGACAATATTAACCCTAAATGTAAATGGGCTAATGCCCCAATCAAAAGACACAGACTGGCAAATTGGATGAAAAGCCAAAACCCATTAGTGTGCTGTATCCAGGAAACCCATCTCACATGCAAGAATACACAAAGGCTCAAAATAAAGGGATGAAGGAAGATTTACCAAGCAAATGAAGAGCAAAAAAAAGCAGGAGCTGCAATTCTCATCTCTGATAAAATGGACTTTAAACCAACAAAGATCAAAAGAGACAAAGAAGGGCATTATATAATGGTAAAAGGATCAATGCAACAAGAAGAGCTAACCATCCTAAATATATATGCACCCAATACAGGAGCACCCAGATACATAAAGCAAGTTCTTAATGACTTACAAAGAGATTTAGACTCCCATGCAATAATAGTGGGAGACTTTAACACCCTATTGTCAATATTAGACAGATCAACCAGACAGAAAATTAACAAGGATATCCAGGACTTGAACTCAGACCTGGACCAAGCAAATCTAATTGACATTTACAGAACTCTCCACCCCAAATCCACAGAATACACATTCTTCTCAGCACCACATCACACCTACTCTAAAATTGACCACATAATTGGAAGTAAATCACTCCTCAGCAAATGCAAAAGAACAGAAATCATAACAAACAGTCTCTCAGATCACAGTGCAATCAAGTTAGAACTCAGATTTGAGAAACTAACTCAGAACCGCACAGCTTCATGGAAACTGAACAACTGGCTCTTGAATGTTGACTGGATAAACAATGAAATGAAGACAGAAATAAAGATGTTCTTCGAAACCAATGAGAACAATGACACAACATACCAGAATCTCTGGGACACATTTAAAGCAGTGTCTAGAGGAAAATATATAGCAATAAATGCCCACATGAGAAGCAAGGAGAGATCTAAAATCGACACCCTATCGTCAAAATTGAAAGAGCTAGAGGAGCAACATCAAAAAAACTGAAAACCTAGCAGAAGACAAGAAATGAGTAAGATCAGAGCAAAACTGAAGGAGATAGAGACACAAAAAACCCTTCAAAAAATCAATAAATCCAGGAGCTGGTTTCTCGAAAAGATCAACAAAACAGACCACCAGCCAGATTAATAAAAAAGAAAAGAAAATAATCAAATAGATGCAATAAAAAACGATAAAGGGGATATCACCACAGATTCCACAGAAATACAAACCATCATCAGAGATTATTACAAACAACTCTATGCACATAAACTAGTAAACCTGGAAGAAATGGATAAATTCCTAGACACTTGCATCCTCCCAAGCCTAAAGCAGGAAGAAGTCAAAACCCTGAATAGACCCATAACAAGGTCTGAAGTTGAGGCAGCCCAGGTGGGCTGGACCACCCAAAAAAAAGCCCAGGTCCAGATGGGTTCACAGTCGAATTCTACCAGACATACAAAGAGGAGCTGGTACCATTCCTTCTGAAACTATTCCAAACAATCCAAAAAGAGGGAACCCTTCCCAAAAAATTTTATGAGACCAATATCATCCTGATACCAAAACCTGGCAGAGACTCAGCAAGAAAAGAAAACTTCAGGCCAATATCCATGATAAACATAGATGCAAAAATCTTCAATAAAATACTGGCAAACCAATTGCAACAGCACATCAAAAGCTTCCTCCATCATGATCAAGTAGGCTTCATCCCGGGGATGCAAGGCTGGTTCAACACATGCAAGTCTATAAATGTAATTCACCACATAAATAGAACCAAAGACAAAAACCAAATGATTATCTCAATTGATGCAGAGAAGACCTTTGACAAAATTCAACAGCCCTTTATGCTAAAAACCCTCAATAAACTAGGTATTGACGGAATGTATCTCAAAATAATAAGAGCTATTTACGACAAACCAACAGCCCATATCACACTGAATGGGCAAAAACTGGAAGCACTCTCTTTGAAATCTGGCACTAGACAACGATGTCCTCTCTCACCGCTCCTATTCAATATATTGGAAGTTCTAGCCAGAGCAATCAGGCAAGAAAAAGAAATAAAGGGTATTCAAATAGGAAAGGAGGAAATCATATTGTCTCTATTTGCAGATGACATGATTGTATATCTAGAAGACCCCATCGTCTCAGCCCAAAATCTCCTGAAAACGATAAGCAACTTCAGCAAAATCTCAAAATCAATGTGTAAAAATCACAAGCATTCCTATACACCAATAACAGACTTAAAGAGAGCCAATTAAAAAAAAAAGAGAGAGAGCCAAATCAAGAACGAACTATCATTCACAATTGCCACAAAGAGAATAAAATACCTAGGAATACAACTAACAAGGAACATAAAGGACCTCTTCGAGGAGAACTACAAACCACTGCTCAATGAAATAAGAGAGGACACAAACAGATGGAGAAACATTCCATGTTCATGGTTAGGAAGAATCAATATCGTGAAAATGGCCATACTGCCCAAAGTAATTTACAGATTCAACACTATCCCCATCAAGCTACCAATGACCTTCTTCACAGAACTGGAAAAATACACCTTAAACTTCATATGGAACCAAAAGAGAGCCTGCATAGCCAAGTCAATTCTAAGCAAAAAGAACAAAGTGGGAGGCATCAAACTACCGGACTTCAAACTATACTACAAGGCTACAGTAATCAAAACAGCATGGTACTGGTACCAAAACAGAAATATAGACCAATGGAACAGAACAGAGGCCTCGGAGGCAACACCACACATCTACAACCATCTGATCTTTGACAAACCTGACAAAAACAAGCAATGGGGAAAGGAGTCCCTGTTTAATAAATGGTGTTGGGAAAACTGGCTAGCCATGTGCAGAAAGGAGAAACAGGACCCCTTCCTGACACCTTACACTAAAATTAACTCCAGATGGATTAAAGACTTAAACATAAGACCTAACACCATAAAAACCCTAGAAGAAACTAGGCAAAACCATTCAGGACATAGGTGTAGGCAAGAACTCCATGACCAAAACACCAAAAGCATTGGCAACAAAAGCCAAAATAGACAAATGGGACCTAATCAAACTCCACAGCTTCTACACAGCAAAAGAAATAGTCATTAGAGTGAATCGGCAACTAACAGAATGGGAAAAAATTTTTGCAATTTACCCATCTGACAAAGGGCTGATATCCAGAACTAAAACAGATTTACAAGAAAAAAACAAGCCCATTAAAAAGTGGGCGAAGGATATGAACAGACACTTTACAAAAGAAGGCATACAGGAGGCCAACAAACGTATGAAAAAATGCTCATCATCACTGGTCATTAGAGAAATGCAAATCAAAACTACATTGAGATACCTTCTCACACCAGTTAGAATGGCAATCATTAAAAAATCAGGAGATAACAGATGCTGGAGAGGATGTGGAGAAATAGGAACACTTTTACACTGTTGGTGGGAGTGTAAACTAGTTCAACCATTGTGGAAGACAGTGTGGCGATTCCTCAAGGACCTAGAAATACAAATTCCATTTGACCCAGTAATCCCATTACTAGGTATACAGCCAAAGGATTATAAATCGTTCTACTATAAGGACACGTGCACACGAATGTTCATTGCAGCACTGTTTACAATAGCAAAGACCTGGAGCCAACCCAAATGCCCATCGATGATAGACTGGACAGGGAAAATGTGGCACATATACACCATGGAATACTATGCAGCCATAAAAAACAATGAGTTTGGGTCCTTTGTAGGGACATGGATGAACCTGGAAACCATCATTCTCAGCAAACTGACACAACAACAGAAAATCAAACACCACATGTTCTCACTCATAGGTGGGCGTTGAACAAGGAGAACACATGGACATAGGGAGGGGAACATCACACACTGTGTCTGTCGGGGGCAAATAGGGGAGTGACAGCAGGGGGGGTAGCTGGGGAGTTGGGGTGAGATAGCATGGGGAGAAATGCCAGATATAGGTGATGGGGAGGAAGGGAGCAAACCACACTGCCATGTACCTATGCAACAATCTTGCATGTTCTTCACATGTACCCTAAAACCTAAAATGCAATTAAAAAACAAACAAACAAACAAACAAAAAAAGGAATGCTTCTTGTGTGTGGGTCTCTCTCTCCTCCTTACTTACATCATTATATAAAATTGCCTACCTCACAAGTTATGTTTTCCATAAAATGGCCTCTTATATCCTATTTTGTTTTAATATCTATAATTTCCTTGGGTTTGCCATAAAGATATTATTATTTATGGCATCTAATATGCTATGATTCTCAGATTCCAGTCTTAGCACCCTCCTAAAAGAGAACAAGAATAGAAATAAAAAATACCTATAATTAAAAGGTGGGAGGCCATCTGCAAATCTTGAAGTGAGAGGATTTCCATCTTTATCATGGTAGAATGCAAACAGTCCAGCAGAGAAACCCTGTAAGAAAAAGTTCAAAATGTCTTAAAGTGAAAAATATTAAGGCTAATTACAGGCCTGTGATCAAAAGAGAGAACAGATACTGGTACATAAAAGCACCATGCCAATACTGCAATAGGAACTTATCATACATTGTAATTGAACAAAAATTCAGTGTTCCATATTTATAAATTTTAAATTCAAATTAGGTAAATATTTCTATAATTATAATTATATATCCAGGTACCATTAGAGTTTTAAAACCATAAAGAGCACCAGCTGTTGTGTTTTTAATTCCTGTCTGCTGTGTGTGTGTATGTGTGTGTGTACATTATAAAATGGTTCTGAAAGTCTGTCTGCATTTTAAAGTTATCTTTGCCTTCTTATATATATAGAAGGATCCTCCCAAAGTGCTGGGATTACGGGTGAGAGCCACCACTCCCAGCTCTTCTCCCTTTTTTGAAAATGTATCAGGTATCACTTCTGAACAAGAGCTGGACAAGGGCTGAAAAGATAGAAGCAGTACACTGAAATGCATGGCCAAGACTGACAATTGCTTACATTAGGTAATTACAAATTACTGTGAAGACAAACATTTGCATATGCTCAAATATACATGTAAATAATTATTTAGCTGACAATTTCCTTTCCTTTAATTTGAGAAAGTGGTAAGTCATCACTACTTCCTCCCTATAAGGATTTTCACATGGTTATCAGAAGCGGCAGCAGAAGGGCTGTGCACAGTGGCTCATGCGTGTAATCAAGCACTCTGGGAGGCTAAGGCAGGAGGATCACTTGAGCCTAGGATTTCAAGACTAGCCTGGGCAACATGGCGAGACCCCATCTCTACTAAAAATACAAAAATTAGCAGAGCATGATGGTGCCTGTGGTCTCAGCTACTCTGGAGGCTGAGGTGAGAGGATTGCTTGCTGGATTACAGGTGTGAGCTCCCCCCTCTAATCTCAACACTTTGGGAGGCTAAGACAGGAGGATCATTTGAACCCAGGAGTTTAAGGCTGCAGTGAGCCGTAATAGTGCCTTAAAAAACATGGTGATCATTAAAAAATCTGGAGACAACAGATGCTGGAGAGGATGTGGATAAATAGGAACACTTTTACACCGTTGGTAGGAGAGTAAATTAGTTCAACCATTATGGAAGACAGTATAGAGATTCCTCAAGGATCTAGACATAGAAATTCCATTTGACCCAGTAATCTTACCTAAAGAATTATAAATCATTCTATTATAAAGACACATGCACATGTATGGTCTCTGCGGTACTGTTTACAATAGCAAAGACCCGGAACCAACCCAAATGCCCATCAATGATAGACTGGACAAAGAAAATGTGGCACATATATACCATGGAATACCATACAGCTATAAAAAAGGATGAGTTTATGTCCTTTAAAGGGACATGGATGAATCTGGAAACCATCATTCTCAGCAAACTGACACAAGAACAGAAAACCAAACATCACATGTTCTCACTCATAGGCTGGTGTTGAACAATGAGAACACATGGACACAGAGAGAGGAATGTCACACACTGGGGTCTGTTGGGGGTTGGGGGGCTAGGGAAGGGATAGTGGGGGGGGGGGGGGGAGGTTGGAGAGGGATAACACTGGGAGAAATGCCTGAGGTAGGTGATGGGGAATGGAGACAGCAAACCACCATAGCATGTGTATACCTATGCAACAATCCTGCAAGATCTGCACATGTACCCCAGAACTTAAAGTACAATTTTTTAAAAAATCACACACAAAAAATAATAATAAAATGCTTTTAAAAAGAAATTTATTATTAGGGAATATGTCTCTATATAAAAAATGCTTAGTTTATATATGAAGAACCAATTACCCTACCTTTAACTTTGTCTGTAGCCAAATTAATTTTTAATATTTAATATTTGTAGCTAAATTTATTTAAGATCAGAGATGTGAAATATTTATAGAGAAAGAGCTGATGATGAACTCAATAAAAAACCCCATGGTTTCACTTGTAATAACCAAGGCCTCTAGGTTACTTTTATAAACCTGATAGCTATAAATTCAGAGGTAAAATGAATAGAGGGATTAAAAAAAAAAAAAAAAACATGAACCCAAGATTAAAATGACTACCAAAGAGACTAGTTAAATAGATTAGTCCCCTTGTAGCAGTCATTGATGACATTTTAAAGAACAAATAGACCAATATGGAATCACATAAAGCAAGAAAGCACTCTGATGGAGGTGACACTTGGGACAGGCTTTCTTATGGTTTTGTTTTTTTCTCTGAAGCACAAACTCTTTGTTCATACCCCTATGTGTCATAACTGACTAAGCCAATAAATTGGCTTCCATATAAGTTTACTTTTTTTAATTTGTAAAGTAGAAAAATGAAAGGACAGTTCTTCTTTACTATAAAACTAGTGAAACATTTTTGCAAGCTAAAACTATACCCCTGCTGAAGATAAAGTACTGTGGAAGGTCTAAAACTATTAACAAGTAAAAAGCAAATCTGATTTTGTAAATAAAAACATTTATTGTAAATAAAAAAAAAAGCAGCAGCAGCCCAGGGTTCAGCCATATCTATAGACTTTCATAGTCCTTTCAGCATCATTAATTCTTAAATCTTAGAATTTTAAAAGAGGAAAAATCTTTATAAATCTTTTTGTTTGTTTGTTTGATAGAAGGTCTGCCTCTATCACCAGGCTGGAGTGCAGTGGCACAATCTTGGTTCACTGCAGCCTCGACCTCCCTGGGCTCATCCTCCCACCTCAGCTTCCCAAGTAGCTGCTGGGACCACAGGTGTGTACCACCATGCCCCACTAATTTTTGTATTTTTATTGAACATGAATCTAGGAATCCACATCATCTTAAAATGCAATATATGTATAAAAATGATAACATAATAAGCAGAAAATCAAGGCATGAAGAAAAGAACAGTAAGAGTAGAATTTACCAGGGCATGAATAATCTCATGTTTCACTGTGGACAACATCCCAATAAACTCCTGAGGCTGAGTAGAGATCATATTTGGACACAGGTTAGCATATCCTGCTATTGGCCTGTCAAAACAGACATTGAATTTTTAAATTATATTACAGAACAATATTTATTAACACTTACTTCTCCATCAAACACTGCTCAAGGACAGAGAAATCTTTGCGAAGTATCAAATGTTACTTTGTACCATCACTATCTTTTACTTTCAAGACATGTATCCTCTGCTTTCCTATGGCATGGCAAATCAAAACCTGTTTCCACGAAAGGGCATCACTGATTATACTTTAAAGTGATTTTTTGGAATATATCAATATAATGCCCAAAAAAGAATGAACTCAAAGGCTCAAATTCTAACACCATTTTACTTGCAAAATCCATATGTGACTTCAGCATTTCATCTACGGGCACGGAGACAAGCAGGCAGAGAGGGAAACCAGTTATAAAATGGGGCAATCAGTGAATGGCTCAGGCTGCTGAAATGTGTTGACCCTTCTTATCTCTGTTTGCTATTCCCTTTCTCCTGCTCCAACACTGCCTACATTCACATAAATATTTCTACCTTCCCACCATCTTCCTCCAAATTCCACACCATTTAGAATCTACACACTTCTACATCTCTCTCTGTGCCTAGAACCTGAGAGTCCAAGGGCAGACTGGGACTCAAGAGTCCAGAGTAATTCAGCTCCACCATGCACCTACCTGTCTTTCAAAAGCTGTGGCCGATGAACAATGCTAAACAACCGCAAGCTCAGCTCTCCTACCACTACCTTAACATTTCACATAGATGTACCGCAAAGATCATCCAAGTATAATTGCCTATTTACAAAGTACATTTATCTTATTCAAACTTTTTAAATACTGTATCTTTTCTTCATAGGTAATAGCCACAGACTTAGAATTAGAAAAAGTATGACTACGCCGGGCGCGGTGGCTCAAGCCTGTAATCCCAGCACTTTGGGAGGCCGAGGCGGGTGGATCACGAGGTCAAGAGATCGAGACCATCCTGGTCAACATGGTGAAACCCCGTCTCTACTAAAAATACAAAAAATTAGCTGGGCATGGTGGCACGTGCCTGTAATCCCAGCTACTCAGGAGGCTGAGGCAGGAGAATTGCCTGTACCCAGGCTGGAGTGCAATGGTGCGATCTCGGCTCACTGCAACCTCCATCTCCTGGGTTAAGGCCCTACTCCTGCCTCAGCCTCCTGAAAAAAAAAAAACTCTTCAGGGGCTTCCTATAGCACTTAGAATAAAACAATCCTGTCTGCCTCTCCAAGAACTTGTCCTCCAACACAGTGTCCACTGAAGTGGCTTCTGACAGCAACAGGTACACATGGCTTTTGCCTTGCATAAGCTCTTCACACATCTCTTTATTTGGCTAAAGCCTATCAATGTGCAGGTTGCAGCTGAAGGTTCCCTTTTTCAAAGAGGTCTTCCTTGCTCAATTCATCTAAAGCTCTTTTTTATTCTATTCTATGTGACAGCATTCTATTTATTTTCTACAAAGCATTTATCATACTTTGAAATCACATATTTATTTGCAGGAATATTTAATACCTGTCTCCCTCTGTAATCCATAAGTTCCATGACGCAGGTACACATGTACATCTTGTTTACCTAGTCTGTTGGCCACTCAAATATTCATGAAATGAATTAATGCAATATAGCAATTCTAAGGGAAGGTTTCACTTCCCTCAAAACGAATAACTTAAAGCCAGGGGCAGTGGCTCATCCCTGTCATCCTAGCACTTTGGGAGGCCTTGCCAGGCAGATCATCAGAGGTCAGGAGTTTGAGACCAGTCTGACCAATATGGTGAAACCTTGTCTCTACTAAAAATATAAAAATTAGCCAGATGTTTTAGTATGCACCTGTAATCCCAGCTACTCGGGAGGCTGAGGCAAAAGAATTGCTTGAACCCAGGAGGTCGAGGCTACAGTGACCTGAGATCATGCCACTGCACTCCAGCCTGGGCGACAGAGCAAGACACCATCTCAAAAAAAAATGTACCTGCTTTTTCTCATAACAAATCTAGGAGAAGTTAGTATAACTAATTCACGTGCATGAAAGGACCTTTGCTAAGGTGTTAAACATCTATCTATTGGTCAAATGGCTCAAATTCTAACACAGAATTCATGAATTGGTCAAAATCCTAGAACTCTGGGAGGCCAAGGCAGGCAGATCACCTGAGGTCAGGAGTTAGAGACCAGCCTGGCCAACATACTGAAACCTTCATCTCTACTAAAAACATGAAAATGAGCCGGGCGTGGGTGCACGCCTGTAGTTCCAGCTACTTGGGAAGCTGAGGCAGGAGAATCACTTGAACAAGGCAGGTGGAGGTTGCAATGAGCCGAGATCACGCCACAGCACTCCAGCCTGGGTGACAGAGAGAGACTCCATCTCAAAAAAAAAAAGATTACCTGACTCTCTTTGAAGTCAGTTAATCTCAAATCTAATCTCACCTAGATTTCAGAATGTTACATACAATCTATTCTTAGACATATGGCAATTTCTACGGCCTTTAATGAATTTGTCTGGTATGCAACAGGCAATCTTCTGCATACATAACTTTTCGTTTCAAGGCTGGGCTGCTTCACGGGAAAATTTTTTGAAATCTTTTGTAAATAAAGAGAACTCTGAATTTTCAAGTAATATTTAACTAAGTGAATCACATATAACAAATGATATTAGATGAACAGTCATTATTAACATTTTAACAGTTTTAGCATAGAAGGTGCTAAAATTAAAGTTCAAATTGTTTCCTCAGAGTGGTAGTCACCTGGACAGAAAATTCTCTTGACAGTAGACTTTTTTTTAAATTTATTTGTGGACACAGGGTCTGGCTCTGTGGCCCAGGCTGGAGTGCATGTGGCACAATCACAGCTCTCTGCGACTTACAACTCCCAGGCTCAAGTGATGCTCCCATCTCAGCCTCCTGAATGGCTGGGACTACAGGCGCACGCCACCACTCCTGGCTAATTTTTGTATTTTTTTTAGAGATGGAGTTTCACCATGTTGCCCAGGCTAGTCTCAACCTCTTGAGCTCAAGTGATCTTCCCACCTTAGCCTCCCAAAGAGCTGGAATTAAGGGCGTGAGCCACTGCAACTGACCTTTTGTTTTTCTTTTTTGTGGGGGACAAGGTTTCACTCTGTTCCCCAGGCTGGAGTGCAGTGGCATGATCACAGCTCATTGTAGCCTCAACCTCTCAGCCTCAAGCAATCCTCCCACTTCAGCCTCCTGAGTAGCTGGAACCACAGGAGCATGCACGACGCCTGGCTAATTTTGTTTATTTTTTGAAAAGATGAGGTCTGTGTTGCCCAAGCTGGTTTCGAACTCCTGGGCTCAAGTGGGCCTCCCACCTCAGCCTCCCAAAAAGCTGGGATTACAGACGTGAGCCACCGCACCAGGCCCACTTAACAGCAGACTTGTTCTCTGGAATATTGGCAAAAACAATAGGATCAAAATGGAATAGGAATGGCAGAAAGAAAAGTCAAATGAAGTGTCTGGCTTTTCTCTCACTTTGACTAAAAACTTGGGTTACCACATTAATAACGGTCTAATCACTGTCCCCTAACGCCACTCCAAATCCAGGCAGCATGCTATTTCTGTCTACCAAAGGCAATCTGGCAAATGCAAGATTCCTGTAATCTTAACACTAAAAACACAGTTTGCTTTAAGAGTTCCCATACTAGACCTTAGACACTGAGTCTCGGAGGAAAGTTTACCTGTCCATGTTTGCTTCCTGCTGACAGTAGGCTGCAGAGGAAAGTTTACCTGTCCATGTTTGCTTCCTGCTGACAGTAGGCTGCATAGGAGATGATGTTTTCACGGCTGCACCTCTCAGTGGCCAGAGCACCAACGTACAGTACAAAGTCTGCATCCGGGATGCCTTCTTGGTCTGGCGCACCCGCTGCTCCATGGGGCCACTTACCCCCACGGTAGACTCTGCATTGCTGCACCCACAGGGGACAACAGAAAGCCAGACCAGAGACAAAGTTAGCTACAGTGGCATTTAATCTTACAGTAAAATCCACACTGTAAACAAAAGTAAAATTATATCTTTATTATCTCTAAACTTATATCAAAATCCATACCTCCTTGTCTACTCAATACCTAGCTCTAATTCTGGATTTATTTTACTGAAATGTCTACTTTACATAAAATGATCATAAACCTATAACCTCAATTAAATAATAAGCTATTACAAAGGAAGGCCAACCAAGCAGGATGTTAAAAAGACAGAAATATAAAAAGTTTTAAAACTCAGAAACTAGACGAAGGGATTTTCCTATAAGGAATGTTTTTTTTTTTTTTTTTTTTTTCAACTTTCTTTCAATCTACAGTTAAGTCTAAACTAAGTGGTAAAAAATTTTTTATCTAACGGAATTTTATTTCCTATTATAATTCACATCTTGTTAAAAATTCAAATAATCTAAAGGTATGTAAGGTAAAGTCAAAGTCATCTCATATTACCCTTGTTTCTAATCTTCTAAGCAAATCTTTTATTATCAAAAAAAATTTTTTTGATATATATAGATGGGGTCTCACTATATTGACCAGGCTGGTCTTGAACTCTTGGACTCCCAAAGTGTAAGAATTAAGGGATTACAGGCATGAGTCCCCACGTCCTGCCTGGCAAATCTTATTTGCCTCTGTAATGGTTGCTTTTTTGAAAGCTACTTCTATCAAAATTCCCAAATAATCATAATCTCCAAATCAGAAACAGAAAAATCAGTAAATTGTTATTATTTAAGGTATAAGCAATGTTTACAGAGGAAAAAAAAAACAAATTCTCATTTCATTTAATAGAAAATACACATTGTTTATTCTTCCTTCTCTAACACATACATTTATAATTTTTAAAATCCATTACTGTAAGGGGTTGGAGTTGAGGAGATGTTGGTCAAAGAATATGTGTTTACAGTTAGAGGAATAAGTTCAAGACACCTATTGTAAAGCACAGTGACTGGTTAATGACAACATGCTGTGTTCTTATTTATTTATTTATTTAGTTTATTTTAAGACGGAGTCTTGCTCTGTTGTCCAGGCTGCAGTGCAGTGGTGTGACCTTGGCTCACTGCAATCTCCACCTCCCAGGTTCAAGCAATTCTCCCTGCCTCAGCCTCCAGAGGAATTGGATCTACAGGTGCCCGCCACCATGTCTGGCTAATTTTTCTATTTTTAGTAGAGACAGGGTTTTGCCATGTTGACCAGGCTGGTCTTGAATCCCTGACCTCAGGTGATCTGCCCACCTCAGCCTCCCATAATTCTGTGATTACAGGCATGAGCCACCACACCGGGCCTTGTATTTTTTTAAGCAATAGCTTAGCTTAGGCATAATCTGAGATATTCTTATTCATTTGTTTATTTTTGAGACAGGGTCTCACTCTGTCACCCAGGTTGGAGTTTAGTGGGAAGATCATAGCTTACCACAACCTCCACCTCCCCGGCTCAAGCAATCCTCCCACCACAGCATCCCAAGTAGCTGGGACCACAGGCACACACCACCACACCTGGCTAATTTTTTGTATAAACAGGGTTTCACCATGTTGCCAAGAGTAGTCTTGAACTCCTGGAGTCAAGCAATCTGTCTACCTTGGCCTTCCAAAGTGCTGGAACTACAAGTATGAGCTACTGTGCCCGGCCTTAATTTTTTATTTTTTTGATATAAGTAATATTCAATATGAAAAATCAGAACATCACAAAAATCTCCATAACTTACCAAAGAAAACCACTTTCCCCAACAATCTCTTAAAGAACACCATTAACATTTTTATATACATCCAGATTTAACATGTGTATGCTTCCAGGCTGTTTGATAATTTTTTATTTTCTGTGTTCCATACTTTCAAATAAAATGGGCTAAAAATAAAAAGATTTGCAACCTTTTTTTTTTCATGTAAGAGCTTAAATTTCTTTCCAAGTCAGTTCATAGAGATTTATTTCATTTTTTAACAACTGTACAGTATTCTACTACCATAACTTAACTAATACCCTAAATAGGCATATTTATAGTTTTGCAAAGAACATTTCTGAACATATATTATGCAGCCATTAGTATTTTATGCAATAAATTTCTAGGTTGGGTTGAAGCACACATATTTTTCATATTAAGAGATGTCAGACTGTCCTTTAAAAAACTGAGGTATATACCTGGCCAAAAGAGATTTTGGAAGAGAAAGATAATGTTCTAAGCTGAACTGATTCAGCAGATCAAGATAAATAGCGGTGGGGAGGCCTGTGGGGAGGAGTGAGGAAAGAAAATATAATTAAACTCACTTGAAAGCTAATGAAAGAATAAAATCAGCATATCTAACTGTGATTACTTTTTGTAGACCAAGGAACCTACTAAGACTTTGACCTTGAATCTGTAAAAATGATCTGACACTCACAAATTAAAATCTCCTCAAGTGTAAAAACATTGCTAAGAGCAGGATGAAATACCTGGAGATGTTCCTCTGGAACAATAACTGGGCCGCATTTTGTGTGCACTGCACATTCCCCAGTGCAGTATCTATGAGGATCATTTTCCTTCCGGAGGTATTGGTTTGTGGCACATTGTCTTAAGTTCATTTGTACATCAAAGTTTAAATACAAAAAAGAGAATATTATATAGCAGTTAAAAACATGGTAATCAACTGGTAGCTGCTATGTTACTTCATTAATAACGTTACTATTTTAGTTAGGAAAGTAGGCTAAGAAAGAATTTGGGTTCTATAGGAAATTTGGGTTTCTAAATGATTTGAGTTTTTAAATACTCAAATGCTTCATAAAGCTAACACTGTATACACATGAACATGGGAAAAAGCAGATTTGGAGAACAGAGGACAACCATATCCCCGAAAAAATTCAGTAGGCCATCACATAATGAAAGATCAGGGAAAGAATGATTATCCAGCAGAGGCGTTTTTATTCTTTTAAAATAACTTGCGGTTTGATTCCTAAGAATAAGCACAATAAAATTCTAGTATAAGCTTCACATCTTGCCATATTTGTAGAATGGGAAAGGCAGAGTACTGAGTGGCTGAAGAAAATCACCTGTATTAATGAGACATACCTGCTAAGTAAGATAGTGCCAGCAGGTCTACGGACCTGAAAAGTCTTCTCTAAATAAGAAATAGCTTGTGGGAAAAGCTTGTTCTAAATAAAAGTTAAAAAAACAGTTAGAATTATAAGGAAGAGATAAATTATATTTAAAACAAGCAAGCACAGGATATTAATGACTAAGGGGACAAAAGGGAAACACTTTGTAATTATGGAATACAGATACTAGTTGGTCAAGGTTGTAGAGCAAGGGGTAGGAAGAGAGTAAGTCCAGTAGGAAAAGAATTTCCCCACTTTCTAGTTCAACTTGGGAAAACAGTACTAGGTAGACATTTCCTTCCCTAACCCCATTTAAATAGAAAGCCAGAAAACATGTATGTCAACTATTTTTTATTTTTAATTAAATATTAATTTCCTTTGATACTATACCTTTAACAAAACTGCAATATATCTCAACTATATTAATATAGATTACTACGAATGACAGGCTGACTTAGATGATTCCAACACTAAAATAGTTTATGTTAAGAAAATCTTATGTTTAATTAAACTCACCAATTTCTGTGGCCCATAGTCAACTGGCTTTGTGTGTCTGCATGTGTGCGTGTGTGTGTCTGCATGTGTGCATGTCTGCATGTGTGCCTGTGTGTGCGTGTGTCTGCATGTGTGTCCGTGTGTGTGCCTGCATGTGTGTGTGTCTGCATGTGTGCGTGTGTGTGCGTCTGTGTGTGTGTGTGTCTGTGTACGTGTCTGCGTGTGTGTGTGTGTGCGTGTCTGCATGTGTGCATGTGTGTGCATGTCTGCGTGTGTGTGTGTCTGTGTCTGCGTGTGTGTGTGTGCGTGTGTGTGTGTATATGTGTGTGTGTGTGTCTCCATATAGTTAAAAATCTAATGTGGTTATCAGGTCAATCTTCAGGAAAATAAACATTTCCACCAACAGAACAGTGTTCTCAATGTATTTCAAAAATTGTCTTTTTCACCCTATTCTCTGAATGATTTGCTCCCCAAAAACCTGAGAGAGCAAGCAATAAAAGGAGAAGACTAACAAATTATTTTAAAATGACTAATTTAATGCCAAATACCAACGAAGTTTTCATGAGTGCATCACAAAGACACCTTTGATAAATACTTTCACTACCAACACCTTTTATTCAGTCATTCACAAAAGTCATGTATATATTTTACTTTAATGAAGTAGAATTTACATATAATAAAATTGTAAATGTCCAATTCAAGCTATGAGTATTTATTACATACCTTTACAAGATTTTTTTTCTCAGGGAGCAACCTGAAAATAATGACATAAAAACATAAGAATTACCTCTCAGAGGTGTAGCACTATCTCATCTGTTCAGAATGCATCTGTAAAGAGCCCCAAGGAATCCTATATGCATAAAATAACTGTCCCCCAAAATTTCAACTTACCTCACTGAGTATTTGAGAGTTTACTCTGTGCCACAACATGGCACTAAGCATGATCATGTCATTTCATTCATTTGGAAAGGATAGGGAAAGACCACTCCTAACAGCTCTTCATGAACTACTGTAGATTCATAATTTATCTGTGTTCTGGATCCCACTTATATGAAATAAAAATCAGACTAATCTCTCTGGTTAATAATTTCATAAACTTTCTTATTATTGTTTATATTAGTACTTATTTTTTCCTCCAAGTGTCAGAGATGTTTGAACCAGAGCAACTCCATCTTCAATAGTGGCTGGGTAAAATAAGGCTGAGCCCTAATGGGCTGCATTCCTGGATGATTAAGCATTCTAAGTCGCAGGATGAGGCAGGAGGTCGGCCCAAGATACAGGTCATAAAGACTTTGCTGATAAAACAGGTTGCAATAAGGAAGCTGGCTAAATCCCACCAAAACCAAGATGGCGACAAGAGTGACCTCTGGTCATCCTCACTGCTACACTCCCACCAGCGCCATGACAGTCTGCAAATGCCGAGGCAATGTCAGGAAGTTACCCTATACGGTCTAAAAAAGGGGAGGCATAAATAATCCACCCCTTGGTTAGCATGTAATTAAGAAATCACCATAAAAAATGGGCAATCACAGCCCTTCGGGCTGCTTTGCCTATGGAGTAGCCATTCTTTTATTCCTTTACTTTTCTCTTTTTTTGATTTTTTATTTTTATTTTTTTTTTTTTTT